GGGGGGGGGGGGGGGGCCGGGGCCCGGGCGGGGGGGGGCCCCGGGTGCCGGGCTGGGGCGGGGCAGCCCCGCCGGTGGCCGTTAGGTGGCGGGCGCGGGGTGTCCGGCGGCGGGAGGGCGAAACCGGGCAGTTTGGGGAAAAAATCCTCTGCTCGGACCCCGGGAGCGCTGCCCCCGCCCCGGCCCCGGGGGGTCCTGGGGACACGCAGCGCCCAGAACCGGGCTGGCCGTGGCTAGCGGTGGCCACCGCGTCCCCCAGCCACCTCCAGAGCCCGGGGCCGGGGGGGTGGGCGGGTTTGGTGCATCTGAGCTGGGCTGCTCCCCTCTTTCCAGCCCCAGTTCATTCGGGGCCACCCGGGCTCCGGCCCCCCATCAGCTCTGGGTGCAACCGCCTGTCCCCGCTGGCCGCCTCGTCCCCCTCCTCATGGGGTGTCTCTGGGCGAGTGTTGGGGAGCAGCTGGGGCAGGCAGAGAGTTAAACTGGGGGGTGGGGGTGGAGGGGGACAGAGCCAGGAGAGCAAAATACCCCTCTCCCTGCAGCCCACAGCACTGGCCATGCTCGGGAGCTGCATCTCTGCAGGTCCCCCTCTTTGCCAGCAGCTCTCATCCCGGTACCTGGCTCCCCGTGAGCCCCAATCCTCATCCCAGGGAGCGAGAGCACGTGCAAGGAAATGTCCTGTCTGCACCCCCTTCCCGCGGGGTCCCCGAAAGCAGCCTCCCCCCCCACCCCCCGCCTCATTCCCCGCACTCCTTACACGGCTGCGGAAATTGGCAGCGAATTATCAGCAAATCCACCCAGTTCCTCTCCGCCTGCGAGAGGTGCGAAGTCCCAAACCTGGACGCCCACTTAAAGAAGTGTGAGCTAAATCCACGCTCAGGACGGTCCCTCCGGAGCCCGGCTGTCTGGCTTATCTCAGCTCCCACTTTATTGTAGGGAAGGTGCTGATGGCTACGGCCACAGGAAATCCGGGAGGTGGAAATTACGGAGCGTTTTGCCCTCCACACCCCGTGCTGGGACACGTCGAGGAGATGGGGGGAGGGTGGAAATTGTGCAGGCATCACTGGCCCTTCCGTGGGTTTTGCATGGATGTTCATTTTCAGTTCACCTGCATCCTTGTGAAAGCCTGGGGGGGCACGGAGCACCTCGGGGTGGGGGGGTGAGCATCGGCAGGGACAGAGCTGGTGCTGAGTGACGTAATGCTTGGGCAAAACCACACGCAGTCGTGGAACACGAGCTCGCTGCTCGGGAGGAGCGCAACGAGAGCGGATGGATGCGGGAAAGAGCAGCTTTGCGGCGGTTCCAGCTGCCTCAGGGCGGGGATGAGGCCCACAGGGATGCAGACCCCCGGTTGGGACTGGCCAGGGGTCCGGGCGAGGCATGCTCACTGCGTGTGTCTGCAAAACATGCTGGGCTGGGAAAGTAGCCTTGCTGGGAATCGTAACTGGGGCAGCTGGCCCTCTCGAGCACCTCCCATCTCTTGCCAGTGGAACGGCTCTGACTTTTGAAAGCGTGTTTTGTACCTAGAAAGAATAGATGCGAGGCAAGATCTCCCCGCCCCTGGCACTCACGCCGGGGAACGGGATCCAAGCCCTTTGCGATGTGTCCAGGGCAGAGCCGAGTGCTTCACGAGCTGCCCGCGGGGAAGGGCTGGGAGCATTCCCCGAAGTTTGCAAAGTGTCGGGGAAAAGCTGTGCAATTTGGCCCTGGCCAGGAAGGCAGGGATGCTGGGTATGGTCTGAGGAGAAAGGGGGGAAGAGGCAGAAGAACGCTTCCCACGGGATAAGAGGGGTTTTGCTGCGTGGTGCAACATCTGGGGGAGAAAACCCGCCGTGAGGGCTGGAGCAGGAGTACCTGGGGCCACATCCAGGACCTGCCGGCACCAGCATGGGGGCAAGCAAAGGGCTGGGGACTTTGCTGGCAGCTCCAGGGAGGATGCTCCATGTCCCTGGTGCAGGTCCCACGGCAGTGGCTGGCAGGTGTAGGTCGCGCCTGGTTCCCCAAAATGCTGACAGAGCTGCCAAACAGCTTTGCCCTGTGGTTGCACACAGAGCTCCTTCCCAGGGGTAACACCGAGATGCAAAACACAGAAGTAAACACCCCTTTGCCATAGCTACCAAGGAGCCCCTGCACCTGCTACCCACCCACCCCCCCCTCCCCAGACCCAAATCCCACTCCACACGCTGTTGACAACGTTGTCATAGGAAACGGCGCTCGCTAACGGGGTGTGACGGGGCTTTACGGTGCCGGCACGGGATGCGCTCAAAGGAAAGGTATGTGTGAGGGCAGGTCACAGGAACACGGGTGGAAGGGGCCCTCCGAGGTGTCTGGTCCCGGCACTGGCTCCTGGCAGCATCGTCAGCACTCAGGGTGGTCTCAGTTGCAAATCCTCCCAGGATGGGGATCCCACCTCTCTGGGGACCTGTCCTGGGGCTCCACCACCCTCCTGGGGAAGAAATTTTCCCAGTATGGACCTAAGATGTTTTTGCAGCTGGGGATATTCTGAAATGCCCAGGACAGTGCCCTTGGGAAGCTCTGCTGGGAGAGGAGACCTGTGGTGCAGGTGGTGATGGAGAAGGGTCCCAGTGCTCTGCATTTGGATGCAAATTGAGGGTGAGCTGGAGGAGAGAGGATGGCATACCCTGAAGTGGATAGCCATGACCAGGACACATGACGTTTGTATCCTGCAGCTGCATTTCTGCAAGGGACCAGTCACAGCAGCTGGTTCTTGTGCCAGGAAAGGTGCAGCTGCACAGGCTGAGGGGCAGGGAGAGCTTGGGGACACAGTGGAGCCACTGCAGGTCCTCGCTGCTGCCGTACACGGACACGGGGGTTGAAATAGCACAGCCTTGTCATGATCCCGGGGAAGCTGAAGCTGATACGTGGGTTTGGTCCAGCAGCCCGACTGGCATCGTGTGGGCCAAAATCTTCACTTCAGCTGCTCCTCCCTCTACTGAGCAAGGTCCTCGTGTGTCCACAGTGTGTCTTCCAGGAAGGCATCAAGGGACAGTGAAGCTGCCTCTTCTCATGGTGGAGCATCCTTATGTTTTCCTGCCTTGGTTCACCAGCTGTTAATTACTAACTAACAGGTTATCACCCCTGTAGATGCTCCAAAGTAAAAAGGCTCTCTGAAATGTAGACCTCTGTAAGTCTGCCTGCTGCAGCGTCCCAGAGAAACACCTCCCAGGGCACGGGGCAGGAGGGGGAGGCAGGTTTGGAGGCACGGATGGGGCTCTGTAGTACCTGGGAATCAAGTCAAGTCTCCGCTCAGTCTTATTTTTGGCAAGCGAAACCTTCAGGCTTGTCAAGTCCCTCATTCAGAGCTATTTTCACCAGCCCACGGTTGTCTCCATGGGTCTCTCCTGAACCGGCTCCGACATTTGCAGCCAGGTCCGAGCAGTGGGCAGCAGGGGTGTCACTGACCAACACCCCAGCACATGGTGGTGGCTGTAGCTCTGGTGTTTTGTGGCCAGAAGCCTGGCTAACCCCTGCCCATCGTTGGGCACGCTGGGGGCAGCAGGGCAGCAGTGGGAGGCCAGGCTGGAGCTTGTCCTTGGGCTGGTGCACAGCAGGAGATCTGGGGCAGGGAAATATCATTTTCCTGCTCACATCAGCCATCCAAGAGTCACGGCTTTGCTCTCGGGACCGGGCTGGGGGGATGGCTGTTAACACAGTGACACACCTTTTGAGGACCACTGGCTACTCGAGGAGTGGTCCAGGGGATGGGGTGTCCATCTCTCACTCCCCTGTGCATCCCGTCACATCACCCCACATGACGCTCACACCACAGCCCCACGGGACATCCCCCTGGGACCCCCCACCTCCGCCGAGGGAGCCATCCTGTTGCCGGCACCGGACAGAAGCCACCACAGAGACCCATTTCAGCATCGTGGGAAGGATCTTCTCAGCTACCCCCGCGTCTGCTCAGTGCAGGGGTGTTTCTCAAAGCACAAGAGTTGCCAGCGCAGTGGGGGCTGTCGGGGGAGCGCGGGGGCTTGGGCAGCCTCTCCCTGCCAGCACCTGGTCACTGGCAGGTTCCATCGTACTTGTGTCTGTTGGGTTTGATTGAGGAACTAACGAGGCTCCTGTGACCCAAGCTGTACCCCGCCCGATCTTAACTTTCCATGAGCTCTGCTTTCTCTGGCAGTCGCTCCCCACGGTTGTTACGGGATGAGGTTTTGCCTCATGAGCTGCAGCCACGTGCAGTGCTCTTCCTTGGCATGACCAATAGAAACAGCATCGTTCACCCATGGCCACGGAAGGACCCCAAGGTCTCTTGGGAATGTTTGTCATCAGAGTCCCCTCTGATGTTCCCCTCTGGGCAACAAGGAGAGACACTGTCCCCAGCCCCTAGGGAAGACATCTAACTCAGAAAACCCATGTTTTCTCCCGGGCATGAGCAACCAGGTGATGTTTGTGATGGTGCCTTCTCTGCAGGCTTTGCCTCTCTTTCTCATTTTCTCCTTTTCCCATCCCCTGTGGGTGACCAGCTCTCCTTGTGCTGAGGAGACACGTGGATGAGAGTCTTGGCACCTGTGAAACTTGGGTTGTGTTGTGAGTGGTGCAGCCCTGGGACAGCAGTGGTGGGTCTACCAGTGGTGTCCATCCTTGGACATGTTCAAAACCTGCCTGGACAAGGCCCTGCACAGCCTGATCCAGCTTTGGAGTGCTAACGTGCTCAGGGGCTGGGCTGGGGACCTCCAGACATCCCTCCAACCTAAATCCTGCCATGATTTATATCGGATTCTCTTTGGTATTTATGTAGTTCTGGGAAGCCTTCAGTGATGTATCGTTGAACTCTTATAATCCAATGCTGGCCAAGGGGGGATTTAGTGGTCCTGGCTCCATACATCTCATTCACATTGTCCTGCTCAAGGACAGAGGAACATCTGCTGCCGATAGGTAACTCCAGGCCATGGTGTAGCCCCGCTCCCAGCTTGGGTGTGAAGCCTCTCCTCCGCCTGCCTCCATCCCTGCTGCCG